AGTTTTGTCAGAGATGGGTATTCCATTGTCATAGAAATATTGTAGGTGCATGAATTCAGTGAAATAATACAATATAGTCCAGTAATCCATAAGAGTAGTGGGTTATCTGCAGAACTGGAAATGTCAGAAGTTGTTGACTCGAGCCTTTTACAGTTCAGGATATGGATATTAATAGGGCTTTACTTTTTATACCTCTTTTTTATACTTTTCAGCTGATGGTTAAGACTAAAAAAAAAAAAGCAAGACCTATATAACAAGATATGTAATTTTTACCTCTGACAAGGTCAGTCAAATCACCTCAGGATTTATCCTGAAGCCCTGTACAGCAGTTTGTAGATCCTTTGTCAGTGTCAGCTATGTGGAAGGGTCACGGCCATTGCTTGACCAATTTGCTCTCTGTGAAAGCCTGAGAGATTGTTTTCTCTCTAGGTGACTCTCCTTAGGCACACTTCACATCATTGATCACTTTCCTCTTTGGCCTCATAATCTCCTTAATCAGAAAATTTAGGATATCTCTGATAACTGGATATTATAGTATAGGTTCTCTTATGTCCAGAGGACTCACTGACCTTGAAGGGCTTTGGCCAAAGTGTTGGCTATCCTTGTAGCCCTTCTTTTTCTCTAATATTTTGGTCTGCAAACTTAAGTTGTTAACCCTACAGAAGAGAATCTTAATGATATTATTACCCTATAACATAAGAAGTTGTGCTTAACATCACTATCTGTCTATCCAATGCTTTAGACATAACGTTATATGGAACAGATACTTTCTATCAATCCTTGATATGCTAAACTTGAAATCTGTACAAAATGGTAAAAAATAAAAAATAGAAATAAACAATTACATATTTTAACACAGAAATTTAGAAATCTAACCATATACAACACTGTAGCACGACAGTTCCATGACATTTTTTGCATGTCTTTTGTTTTCATTTATTAATTATTTGAAAACAAACATTTACTTGAGAGAAAGTATAGCAGTAATTGATATGACATTAGAAGCAGCCCACATTTAGAAGACCAGAATGACAGGCATTCCAATCAAGGCCCTAGTATTACACATTTCTATCTCATTGAAGTTGCTTAGTTCACAGCTATCAGCATATATAGTTAATCAGGGTGACAATCCTACCAATTAACTGCTAGTTTCAAAAACTTGATGGAGATTCTCACAGTCACTGCCTTAACCATCTTATTTATATAAATGTA